GTCGTATTTTTTCTCTCTCTCTCTAGTTGTTGTTGTATTTGTTGCAGTTGTTTGTATTTCTCTGTAATTGCTGTAGTTGTTAATCGTATTTGGTTTGTATTCATTGTGGTAGGATGTCCTTGTTGTTGTCGTATTTGGTTTGTATTCACTGTGGTAGGTTGTACTTATTGTTGTGTTTTGTGTATTGTGTTTTGTTTGAACGTGTTGTCAGTGTAATGTGTGTTACTCGTCTGTTGTGTCCTATTGTGTACTACTGCCACCGGGCTAAAACCCAATTGCAGTATAATAAATAATATATATATATATAAGAAGTGGATTCCCCATTCCCGCACGAATTTGCAGGCGATATATTTTCTGAGCTCAAAAAAAAACAGTTCCAACAACGTTTTTCGGATCTTGATGCAAGTGCAGAAGACATTTCCAGATTTGAAAATCCATTTAACTGTACAATTGAGGAACTTCCACCTAACCTTCAATTGGAAGTGATTAATCTGCAGTGTGATAACATGCTAAAAGGCAAATTCCAAGAGAACAATCTAACAGAATTCTATAAGTGTCTTCCAAGTGATGAATATGGTGAATTAAGATCATATGCTCGAGGTTTGATCTCTGTATTTGTTAGTACCTACCTGTGTGAAAAGACATTTTCAAAGATGAAATATGTAAAATCTCAATACAGGTCAGCATTAACAGACGAATATTTCCAATCAATTATGATGATAGGGAGTACTAACTTTGACCCCCAATTTGAAGAAATGTTATCTCAAAAAAAAAAACAATTTCATTCTTCCCATTAGTAGCCTAAAGCTGTGTTTCAAACAATGATTGTAGTTCCTTTTGTATTTTTATTATGTTACATTTTCACCAGTAAATTTGTGAAAACTTGTTTTTTAACCTGTTATTTTAATTGTACCGACCTTTAAAGATCCTCGAGTTTGCCTCTTGGCCCTCAGAGTGTAATGTATTTTATATTTGGCCCTTTACGAAAAATCTTTGCCAACCCCTGCTCTAAAGTATCGCGAACCATGTCGTGCCAAACTGCTGACTGTTAACTGGGAACAAATGGCTCATGGCGCTGACAAATACTGTCTACTGCTGACAAATCATAAACAGACTCCCATGCATGAGCCGCACTTCCCGCCATGTAACATAATACTGTGTAAAGGTCTATTAGCTAGTTATTTTCCTGTGTTCCAAACGTTATCGGCCGTCGAGCATGCTGAATCATCGACAAAATTCGCGTGCGCTTAACGGCCGGCGATGTCCCAGTCGCGGTAGAGCACGGAGCCGTGAACACGTCAATAGCTATAAAAATTTCCCTGTAGAACGGCAATTGTTTTATACAGACCGGATATTCCATACAATGCATCCCCCAGATTTAATACCAGCATTTAATTTAATTAGCCAAATTTTGTATGCTTCTCCATTCTTCATACTCTGCATTTTTTAAAAATTCATTGTATATCTCTACTGGCACATACATATTTCTTTATTTTATTCTCTAATCGTGATCGATACATGAAGCCATCTCTGTAACAGTCCTAGAAATTCCTAACATTAAAGGTTCAGCGTCTGAGAAGTTGTTCAGTTCTTTTGCCTCACAAGATTAAGTGGATACCTGATAAAGACCAGAAAGACCTAAAAAACTATGACACAATCCAATGAGTGGAAACAACTGAAATAGTAAACAAATTCAATTAGACCTAAACAGAGGAAAATTTATGTAATCTTAAACGGAACATTGCCATTCGAAATATAGTCGGAATTACTAATTCTCCTTCTGATAATAGAAAACGATATTTTCAAATAACCATTCCTTAACAGTCTGCAGTACTGCATCAATTAATCTAAGATTGACATAAAAATGATAGCAATAAACACGAGTAAGATCTTACATTAAGTTTTAAACAAACGAATGTACTCAAAACAGAAATAAAAAGACGACGAATTTGTTGTACTTACATGACCTGGATGGATGAATCTTCTCCGAGGTCCATGCCAGAGCTGAGGACGAAGCAGCGCCTTGGGCTACACACCATACAGTCCCATTTTGCTTCAACAGTGTCACGTCTGCAGATCCTAAATAATACATTTACAGATCCAAGTGATTTTCAGTTATTTAAATTTGTGGGGAGTGGGAATTTACTTATTTACTTACTTACTTACTTACTTACTTACTTACTTACTTACTTATGGAGCTGAACCCTTCTTGAGGAGAATACAAATCTGCAGCTACTCAAGAATTTATCAGCATTTTATGGAACCCGAAAGTTCATTACCGTGTTCACAAGAGCCCTCCACTGGTCCTTATCCTGAGCCAGATTAATCCACTCCATACCATCCCATCATATCTAAGATCCATTTTAATATTATCCGCACACCTACGCCTTGGTGTTCCCAGTGGTCTCTTTCTTTCTGGCTTTCCCACCAATATCCTATATACATTACTTTTCCCCCCATTCATGCTACATGCCCTGCACACCTCATCCTCCTTAATTTGATCATTCTAATTATAAAGAGTACAAGTTATTAAGCTCCTCATTATGCAGTTTTCTCCAACCTCCTGTGGGAACACGAGTAAAAAATTACGCTTTCACATACAACGTAAGCTGTTACGCTATTTTCATATACAGTATGCTTTGTAGACGGCAAAGTAAAGAATCGAACCCGGATCCTTGCTAATGCTGCATGAGGCTATCAACAACTGAATCGTGAATTGCGATATTCAGAGTCCTTATTGTTCCACCATATGCACAACATGTCTTGGAAATCTTATCGTTCTTGATTCAACCGCAATAGAAGTTTTCGGAGCGAAACCAAAAATCGTGGAACTCCTCACCTTGCATTCTTCAATTAATCCACTCTCCTCAGCACCCTCAATCTACATTTTTTCTATAGGGGTACGCGGTAGCTACAAGCCGGAAAGTCGCTTGTTCGAGTCCACATGAGGTGGATTTTTTCAATTTACCGAAACATTCCAGCCGCACTATGACCTGAAGTCGGCTCAGTCTCTAACAGAAATTAGTACCAGGAATCTTCATGGGTAAAAGGCGGCTTGTGCGTAAGGCTGACAAACTTACCAACATTTATGAGCCGATTGCCTAAAGAAAATGTACAAGCCTCGACGTCTCACAACTCTACGTACCTTCATGGTCTTTTATAGAGATAGCTCGACCTTTTTTTATAGTAACTCAAACTGAATTTCAATAAAATCTATCGAATGGTCTATGTGATACATGGAAAAGTCTATAACCTGATCTGAACCAGTCTCTATTGTGGATCAACATGCCCAAAAATCCGAAAAGACGTCAGATCACCAAAGGTAACAAAGTGGAGGGGACCATTCCCACCCTAGACGTTCCAATCGTTTTGCGAGCGATCTCGGAAGCCACTTGGCTGCGACCTGTAATAGTGGGACCGCTGCGAATTTCTACATCCTCTGTCACATAACTCACCAACAGCTGCTACGGAATCCTCGAGATGAGATGCAGCAATGCAGGAAACCCTGAAATAACAAAATATAACTTGTAAGATTTGAGGTTTTCACAGCGGTTACTATGAAGAAGGAATGGGATGTGGCACCTTGTAGATGTTGTGTAAACCGACGTTTCGGAGAAACGTATCGCAGTCTGCAGTCACCTGCTCACGCTGGGTCCTCGCTTGCGGATTTTTCTACCCAGAAGGGTACTGTTTATTACTTTAAACAGACGTTGTGGTCTAGTGGTCAGAGTTCCTGCCTACAGATCCAGACGACCCGGGTTCGATTTCCGGCGCTACCAGGTGTTCCGAGAAGTAGTGGGTCTGGAACGGGGTCCACTCAGCCTCGTGAGGATAACTGAGGGGCTATTTGAAGGAAATAGCGGCTCCGGTATAGAAAACAGAGATTAACGGTCGTGGGGATCCTTTGCGCTGACCACGCCACACCCTCCATCCGCAAAAGTAGGCACTAACTTCGCCGACAAGCGGTGGTCGCTCTGTCGGTATAGTTCGTTTGTGGATTACAGCCCACTGAGTTTCTTTGTTTGTGGGAAATCCTATAAACCTCAGACAGGGCCTGGTAAACCGTGTAAATTTTCTAGTTTCTCCTGTTTACTCCGAATTAATCCAGTGTTGGAACACCTAACCAGTCAAGGCACTGCCAACGTTCACCACTCTTGCCCACATTTACGTCGTACTTTGATTAACAGAACATCTATATTCGGTGCAGAGTTCCCCTAAATTCATAACAAAATTCTCGGTCTACAGTCATACTTCATAAGCTGATAGTCGCGTATGTAGTCAAAGTATTCTGCTCCTTTATCTAATCCATCCGTTCATGACAGTGTTCTCAAATCAGTGGCATTGTTTCCTATCTCGAGTCGCAAGTATCCAGTTCCTCAAACGATATTTGTTTACGGTTAATTTTAATATTATCCTACCACCATGCAATAATCTCCCATCTCGTCTCTTATTTTATAGATTTCGTATTCATGTTTCTTTGTATATCTTGTCTCGCCCATCTGATCCCCTAAACTTATTTAGTGAATTACATAGTGAAGTTGCCATTTTTGCAATTTTATCCAGTCGCTATATTCTTCTCTCACTCTCTGTCAGACCCAGATATTCTGAACACCCTCAGGCTGGATCAGCAGCCCCAAGTTTCGCATTCATATAATACAAGATGGAAATAAAATTATACTTTTGTATACTTTTATCTTTACGCTTTTAGAGAAGAGACAAGAAAAAACGTGTTACACTCTGAATGGCGTAAGCATTCCCCGAATTTAATGTGCTCTCGATTAATTCGCGACTTTCATCTTGATTTCGTATTGTCATTCCCGAATATTTCAAGTTCGCCTGATTTCTGTGCCGAAATTCCAGACTGCCAAATCTCAATAATTAAAACTCGACGTACAGTTTTCAACCGCGGGTGCTAGCGGAAAGGGAACGAAAATCAAACACCTGCTCCCTCCCCCCTTGTATGTTAGAAAATAAATAAAACACAACAAATATTAATATTACAAATTAAAATCACTCAAATAACAGTCACTAACTCAGAACTTTAGACCGGCCCATATAATTTTTTTTTAATTTGTTCAGTGGGGGGGTGGAGTCCAACTGGGTCCACTCGGCACGGTGGCCGCTGATTGCCCTATTGTACCTGCCCCGGGTGATTATGATGATAGAGAATTTGGTGGATTGAAGATTGGCAGGGGAAACCGAAGTACTCGGAGAAAACCCGTCCCAGCGCCACTTTGTCTACCACAAATCCCACTTGGCCAGACCCGGGATCGAACCCGGGCAACCGAGGTGGGAAGCCACCGACTAACCGCTTGAGCTATGGCGCGGCCTGACCCATATAAATATTCTTCAATACTGATTTGGTTCATCTTTGTCTCTCACACTAGCAGTGTTACAAAAAGTTAATCAACTACGTCCAGTGTGACTGATAGAATGTTTTGTCTTTATTTTCTTTTTAAATCTTCATCCTTGACATGTGTCGGTCTGAGAGACCATCTTCAGGAGGATATATTAATACAGGCAGAAACTACTATTACAATGTGTTTGGTCAATATCAATACATACGTGTACACACAGTATCATCACAATGCCATGAATATAAAATCTGAGCCTTTAGCAACTACAGCGATGTGCCTGGATACATTAAAATTCATTAATTTGTAATCTGTCAGACGACAGGTCGGCAGTCTCTTCCAAAACAGTTCCTCCACTTAATGCGATCTAGAGCTTTCTCCTTCAAATGACAGTATCCTCTTCTGTCCCCAAGGTCATCCAGCATCTTCTTACGTCTTCTTCCTCGTCTTCTGGATCTTGCATACATGGTATCTCTGTTTTTGGAAAGAGACTATCCAGGAAAAGTGACAATGTGGTAGTTTTTCCATTTGCTTTCCACATCGCAGTACAACAGCCGTTCAAACCACTCTGGTCACGCCTGTTGCTATACGAACTTGAACCATCTGGAGCATCATTTGCTCTGTGCTTCAAGTCGCTGCTGATGACGCTGCTTCCGGCAGTCTGTTTATATTTGTAGTTTAAAAATGGGTTTGTTAACAAATCTCTAGAACCAGTATAAAGGGCATGAACCAAATTGGTTCTAAAAATTTTTAACAAAATCTGTTTTAAACCACACATGTCAACAGACTAATTGTAATAATTTATAAATATTTTATTGTATTCATGCACATCACTGTAGTTGTTAAAGGCTCAGATTCTATATTCATGGCACTGCAATGATACTGTAATTGACCAAACACATTGTAAATGTAGTTTCTGCAAGTACTGATATATCTTTCTGAAGATGGTCTCTCAGACGGAAACATGTCAAGGATGAAAGATTAAAAAGGAAAGAAATAAAAACATTCTATCAGTCACACTGGACGGAGTTGATTAACCTTTCGTAATATTCTTAAATGTCTTAAACATAATTCATAAGTATACATTCTGGCTACCATCCCCCGCCGAAAATATTCTGCGGCGTTCACATTTTAAACCAAAATATGTGAACCGTCTCATAAGATTACCTAACGTCTTTCAAAAATGTAACCATGGCTGTGATAACAAAATACTGAAATGTGTTGTGCCCATAAGCTGTAGTTCTTTATACGTGACATGCAGCGCCAGAAGCTGCACGAGGGAGTGTGGAGACTGAATAATTTCCAAATTCTTTAAAACAGCGTCACGCTTTCTCAAGCCAAAAGAAATACATCATAACTACTGTGAGAAGTGTATGTTCTCTTCTCGGAATTCACAGTGCAACCTCAGTAAACTCTAATTCCCAGCAACCCAAAATGACCTACAGTAACACGACAAAATAGCGACACCTCCAAAAATTAAAAATATAAATAATTATTTTTACTTCCTTGCAGTGAAAAAAATTCTCGCGAAACGTGGAATTATGTGCCTCTCTCGGAGATGAAAGATGTTACCCGTTTACCGTTTGTCCCGAGCCCGGCGTGTAGCCGAAGGTTCATCTGGTTCCGGTCGGAACCTGACGTTTTCAAGTTGGCAATAGTTTTGGCAAAGGTGATGTGGAAAGAGAGGACTCACTGACCTTCAGCAGCTCAAAGTATACCATTTCAGTAGAAAAGGAACAGTGGACCGCGGAACATCGCGCTTTCGTCGTTGAAACGTTTTTTTAGAACTGGTGACTCTGTTACCCTGACTCAGCGACGTTTCGCGTGCACTTTAATGTGGGTCGTTACGGTAAAGTTCTCAGTAGGAACACGATTTTGTTGTGGGTTGCAAACTTCAGATCAACTGGCTCAGCCCTAAAGAAGAAACCGCCTGGAGTTGCACGCACTGTCGGAACCCCTGAGAATGTTGAAACCGTTGAGACTGTTAGTCGGGCAGTAGTGACTAGTCCCCATAGTTCTGCAAGGAAGCGTGCCATTGTAAGCATCTGGTTGGCATAACTTTCAAGACAAAATGAGCTGGCAGTTATACACACAAAATGGCATATATTATTACGTATTATAACAAATAAAATAAGTAAAGGGAATAAAAATTGGCTCCATTGTACTAATTTAGAATCCATCAGGTTTTCCTGCCGGACCCTGTATAAGTGTACAGTATTTACCGACGAGCTACGGACTGAACAGACGGGGTTGGATTCTCGGCAGAGTCAAGCTTCTAGAACGGCTCTGTTGCCCAACCAAATCCTTACCCCGTGGTTACCGGAGGCTCTTTCCTCGGAGGTAAAGCGACAGGGGCGTCATGCTAACTACTCAACTCCATCTAGTGTCGAAGTCAAGAATGATGGAGCTATAAATCCACTCCCGCATACTTCCTCTTAGTGTGGTGCTTAATTAATTAATTAATTAATTAAACACAGGGAAAACTTTAACTGTTCATCTGTAATTAGTTGCGAATATAGAGTTCGCACTGTAATTGCTTTCTTTACCGATATAACAACATTGCCCGAGAGTGGCTGTAACTTTAAAGAAGGAATGTGCATTATTAATTGATCTGTCTTCATGAAAGGAGTCGGGACTGTTCAGCTGGTAAAGTAACGGGCCACGAGCTGGAGGCCCGGATTCGATTTCCGGCAATGCAACATTTTTCTCTCCTCCACAGCCCCCAGACCAACACTTGGGCCCATCCAGCCTCCTACACGGTACCTGCAAGGAGCTCTTTCCCCGGGAATAAATTGGCAGGGGCGTGAAGCTTACTACTCACCTCCATCTACAGGGTGGGCCAGACTCAATTAGGCAGTTTTTGATTAGATGTTATTTTTATTGATAAATGTTAAGAATTGCAATGGTTACAAAACTGGAATCGCACACACATAAGTCATCGATTTTCAAGATGCTGGTCAACCTGGGCACCACCTAAGTCAACACAGGCTTGTGGACGCAAAGCAACATTTTCACACGCCTTTCTACACATATTCACCGGAACTTTATTGAACTCCTGAACAATCACCTGACGCAGATGTTTCACACTGTCAATGGGATTAGCGTACACCTTGTCTCTGAGGTAACCCCAAAGGAAAAAGTCTGGTGGGGT